ACGTAATAATTCATGTAACATATGTAAATATTACAGTAATAATGAAATGCATTGCGCGTTAGATTATTTATTTATACTGCACTTTACTTATTTTTCGTTCAGCTTCTATGGCAGCGAGCCTAATTCTCGAGAGATGATGCAGCAGTGAAAAAATGATTTTCTTCCATTATATGGGTTTCATGCAAAGTCTCAAAGAATGACACATCCATGAAACCACTCCTTTATTTCAAAGCATGACATAAGCTATGGAGCATAAGGTTGGAATCGTGCATGTGTAGTTCAATCAAGTACAGTTAGGATCTTGTGAATATCTTGTTGTTGTCGTGACTAATCTCGCGGGGGACGGGTCGTGACTAATGACATAGGGGGGACGGGTCCGAGGTCTCCCAACCTCTCGAAAGGACTTTCGGCTCGCTGCATATTTAGAGTGCTCCCATGCCGCACAGACAGTGTACATTTACTATCCATGCGTACATTATTCATACTTTTCCGGGATTCGAAACCAGACCCTTCGGTACATAAGTCACAGTCCAGCAAAAATGTAGCGGTTACAGTATTTGTATTGTTTCATGTCATCATGTCCCGGTTCTTCCTCGGTTCGCGCAGGTTATTTGAATACGTACAAAGCGCGCAAGAGCTATCTGGCTAAGGGAAAAGTTGCCTTTGGGGAGAATTTTCCAAGGAAAACTTGCTGGTATTCCTGGTACACAAGAAGGAAATAAACTAAGCAACCCGCCCATTCACCTGGGATCGAACCCAGGTCGAACCAGGTAATTCGATCATTCACCACTGGCCAATGGGGGCGTCCACTCATTCTATAACACATAAACTACGTACATTTTTCAAGTTCCTAACAACATATTGGGCAGCGGGGAGAGTGCTGGTATTAAATAAACAGATACGAGGACAACGATTTAACGATTTTCAGGGTGTTATCAGTCATACACAGTGATGTAATAAAATATTTTTTGTGTTAATTAAACAGTGGCATAATGAACTAACGAATAGAAAGAAACACTTGATGTGTATTTTTTTCGTTAAAATTACAAACTCGTTCATCTAAATGAATTTTTTATAACAAATACATAAATCTGAATTAATAAGTTGATTATTCATCGTTGTTTCATGACATTTGGAATAGTTAACAACAAGAATTCCTTTTTACTTTCTCTCTGCCATGATTTAAGTAGTCTTTTGGTAAGAACTCACGATAGATTGGTTTTCAAGTAATGATTGTAGAAAGGTGTCACCATTTTTTGTTTGTCTGATGGGTAAAAAACGCACACTTTTCTTATTTAGTATATTTTATGATTTTTTCTTAATTTACTCAACCGAAGACTAAGTCTTTGCTTCATCAACATCATTTGTATTTACATGGTTTCATTAAATGGCTCATTAGTTAATGACAAAGCACGTACATTTTACTTACTTTCACGTACTTAGAAGGGATTAAAAGAGATGCCTTGGTAGAATACATTCTAAGCAAACTGGTTCCCATTCAGGTTATAATCACAAAAACGCATGCAGTCAGCCGTTTCAAGGGACAAACTACCAGCGCTCAGAGGTCTCACACATTTTGCCAGAGGAAAACTTAAAAATAACTTTATTTTACCTCATATTTTTATTATCTATATTTATTCTATTTAATACACATAAGGAGACTTTTTATGTTCACTTCAAACACAATATTATAACTCATATTTTACTTGGTATTTTCGCGTTCGAGCTGGAACCAAAAATTTAATACAATAGTTTACGAAAACTAGATTTCATGAACAGCTAATTCGGTGAAAGTATGTAGCAGTATTAAACACATGATTTGAAAATGAAATAAGTTTGCGAGAGCAAAACAATTAGACTGATTACGCGAAGAAAATAAATCTATGATATATTTTTTCAAGTAATATTTTGATCATAAAATTTGTTAAAAGAAAAACTATGCAAAGAAACCTTTACTCCATTAAATTGCTTTCCTCTGGGTAAAACTACAAAAACTCAAGTGCTGTTCGGATATCTCAACTGATAAAAATCAGGCTCTGTTATAAAAGTAAACTCGTAAATTTTAGTGAACGTTTTATGATCTAGGAGAGCCTGATTATGCTATGTTCAAAAGCGCAAAATTTTACGGTTTGCAAACCAGTCTGTAGCTCTTCATAAGGCTGTATCTCCCTCATGAAACAAGGAAAATACCGACAGCTGAACGATAAGATCGGCTAATACTGGTAGTTAGCCTCGAGTTAAAATCCAGCCAAACGGGCTATCTGTATGAGAATTTTCGTTGTTTTTTCCCATGTTTAGCATGATTAGATTAATTAATTGATTAAAGCAAAGCAACTTGAGGACTATCTCCCCTATGGAGAGGGATGTCTTCGTGAAAGACTTTTTAAAGGCTACTGGCTCCATTCACGTTACGTCTGCGGAAAATCACTAAATCTCCTATGAATTCGAGCGTTCACTTGGATTAGAGCAGAGGTAGAACCACCAGTTTTCAGTGATTTCACCGTTCGGCCGCTGATGGGTCCATGTAAGTGAATATGATCAAATGTCCTTTAAAGCATTCTCTACGAAGATATTCCTCCCCACAGGCAGATATCTCTCGTGTGCTTTGCCACAATTCAGATAACCTAAACTTATAAACAAGGAAAGAAAGGTGTGGGATCCCTTAAAAACGCTGTGTCTAGGATTTTAGACTTGCTTAATCGTGCTTTGGAGCTAGGTTAAAAAAATGTGGCAAAAGTAGCTTTACATGAGTAAGATACGTATTGTTTTTCATGCGTTCTTTTTAAAAAAATAGAAGCAGATTACAACTTCAAACAAAATAGAGCAAGAATTAGTCGTCATAACAAGTCTCTATTAAATGAAAGTACATTTAACATTTATTGTCTCGCCTAGCATTGTTTTCTTGCTGTGATAAAGATTAATATTCTAATTAGAATATCAATGCTGATATTTTATTTATCATAGTTTCGTTTTGCAGCATGTTCTTTAGACAATGGCCCTCATTTCGATAAGTGAATATAGTTGCAGGTATTTTAAACCTCACACTTGTCTGTTGCTATCATTTCTCCAAATGAACTGATAAGCGTAATCTGTCCTTTCCAGATGTGCTGTCCCATATTATTTATCAAATGTAACTTCTGTAGAGTGGAGAGATAAATATCAGTATTATTCATAAATTATTTATGCTCATAACATACTATGTAGCTCTACATATACAACATTTACATTATATTTTTATACTATTATAAAATATTGCGATATTTGTAAAATGCAAAATTATTGTAGAATCCGAAAAATGGTTATAACCATCTTCTCATAATGTTACCTCTCCTAATAGTGGCAAGAGCTTGTTACAATGCAATTAAACATCAGTCTGAACGTCACCTCTCTAAAGCGACCTAAGCCACACAAGAATAGAGTCATCTAAAAACCTGAATGGTCGTCTTAGAGATGTTTCATTGTAATATGCTAATATTCACTACTCTACAAAAAATCTTATACACTATTTTATATTAGTTGCATGAGGATTACAAAACGAAAACAGAATAACGTGATTTATATATATTAAAACGTAATATAGGTTACCAGCATACAGTTCAAAGAACAGCATATGAAATTCAACTGATGATTTAATATTAGGTTTCAGACATGATAATAAAATACGAGATAGTAAATGGGTAGAGCTTCTTGAAAATTTATTGAAAACTACATTAAATTTTAAGCCAGTTTTTCAAGTCAAATTGAAGCAATACTTGAAGTTTTTCATAGCCAGGAAAGATGAAGAATGTATTGCACTGTCTCCAAGATTCAAATGACAAATCTCGCATTTGCTCTGCTTGGACGAGTAAATATTTTATAGTATAAGAGTTGGACAATACGGGGGATTTCGCAATTCCTTAAAAGACCTTCTACCTTAAAAGACGACTTAAAAGACGAAGATAGGAAACCTAATCGATCAGATCCAAGTAATGGGGAAATAATGTTCTCTACATTTTAGCTCAGATTTAACCTTTAAGTCTGTTTATTTCTTAGGGAGATTTGATTTATGTGTTGCAACGTCGTCGAGATTCGAATCGCAGACGTGTCTAGTTGCTAGATGGATACGTTCACTACTTACATTTCAAGAAAATGCACGGAGGAATCCGAGAATTTCCTTAAGAAAGCAATAATTTTATTTTCAGGTAATAGGACTTAATATGCAATCCCGGTGCAATGGATAGTAAAGGCTGGCTGTCGTGCTACTGAGGTTGAATTCGAATCCTATAACAAGGTATGATCCTTTATGATTGTAATGAGGAATGAGCCATTTGAATGCTATTGAACCTCCTGAGAATGGGAGGAGATTCCTCGTAGAAGATTCGTTTAATTCTACGAGGAAACGAATACAAGATTTTTTACATTCCATCTTTTGGGTACTTTTCGATTAAAATTAAGATGATGCTTCCTTCTGACAAGCTCATTATTATTCATGATGTCCTTTCATATGTATTACTGAACTCAAACATGGATAGTGAAAATGCTCTGGTATAGTATGAAATTTAAGAGCAATAATACCTAAAAACTGTTAATGTTTAGATAAATTAATGAAAAGTGGAGCGAGCATTAAAAAATAGATTTGAGGCATCGCGCATTCAGATGAACCGGAACTTAAGGTGTCTCTGTAAAATTTCGTATGTATATGATATCACCTTGCAAGCTTCTCATGCGTGCAGAAATTCCTCCAGATCCCACATGTGGGCCCCTTACGAGCGCCGAAACGGATCTTTGCCCCGAATACATAATACACTTTCGAAAAACTTTCCTCTCTCTTCTTCCGTAACTTAAGTGTGAAAGTGGGAAATCCCCAAACCATAACCCCGGTTCGAACCATTCTGTCGTCAAGCTATTGCTCGCACACGCTCCCGCTTTCTTTCTGCTTTCTTTTTCGTTAACATCATTTTTTGTTATTTAAAAGGGAACTTTTCCGCCTTTCTGCGCGGATCAAAAAGTAGGACTTCGTTTCCAGAGAGGTCAGTGGCAGTGGAGTTGACTGTTCCCATTTTCAAAGCGTTTCTCCTGTAGAAAGCTGTTAGACATGAAGAGACCCGAGACTCACTATGAGTTAGCCAACGAGATATTTTGATCGGTGCAGTTTGGTTTTTTTGGTGTCGTTGTTTTTATTATTGTGGTGTAGTTTGTCATTGTGCATATTGTGCACACTCTGTATGGTCGGATGTGCATTTAATTTTGGAATTCGATATGCGGCAAGCGGCGGATAACACGTGGTTTTGGAATACCAGACAGGTACGTAAGATAATAGCAAATTTTATTACATTTTTTTATTCTGTACCTTTTAGAAGGAAAGGATGGTATCTATAATTTAATAAGACTATTTGGAATTTTTTTTATATTTTTCATTGTCGATGTCACATGGCACAAAATTTGAATACATTATTACATTCATAATTAAATTAAAGTTAATTTGATTTTGATATTAATCTGAGTAAATTATATCATTTCCCTTTGAAAAACCTTTTCTTGCTTTTCATACGCTTAATTAACACAGAATAATAAATATAGCACAAAGCAACAATTGTTTTTCATTCTATATCAACTTTCTTTTCACGGCACAACATTCTAGTGTTATGCAACGACTGAAACTTATAAATTATATTGTTCAAAGTTAATTTTATTTCCATATTAATCTGCGTAAGTTATGTCACTTATCTTCGAAAAAGCTTTGTTGATTTTCGTCCTCTTCATTAACACAGAATAATAAATCTAGCACACAGCAATAGTTGTTTTTTACAGTATATTATCTTTATTTTCACGTCACAACATTCTAGTATTCTACAACCATACCAAACTACTGAAATATAAAACACTCCCTGTTCAAAACATGAAAGATTAAAGATTACTGATTGCTAATGAAATCATACTGCAAACTTTATGACGAATTTCTTTTATCCTTATAAATTTATACTTGTTCTCTAGTTTAAACTTTTAATTCTGAAAATTCTTGTTCGGTTAATATATTCAGCAAAAGTTAATTAAAAATTAATTTAATCAGATGTAACATACAATATTTTACACAATCATTTCTATCAAAACGCATTTAAACTCATTTCTTATTAACATGGCTTTACAAACCTTTTTTTTTTTTCTCCTCTTTTCATTATTAGCGTTTTGTGTGTTTACTTTATTTATTAAGTTTCAAATTCTTGGTGCTTACGCCACATAGCATTCGATTCAGCAACAGAATCATAAAATATTTAAAAGCAGCCTATCTTTAGAATTTCCGATATACAGTCTTGCACGTCTGGAGATAAAAATGTCTTTTTTTCGTACAGTGTTGCCATTGCTCGCTTTGAAATCATTGAGTTTGGTAATAAAAAATTCGTTAAAATTTTTAAAAATATGAAAACAGGTAATTAAACAAATTCCAAATTTGGGCTTCCAGATGCCCATATTCAAGTGGAGGACTACATTATTCAAATTTTGATGTCTCCAGGTACCGTTGTTTTTTCACAATGCGAGAAACATGCATACATTCATGCAAATTCTTCATTATTTAATGTCTTTAAATATTATTCAGGACTCTAATAATGTTTGGCGACAACAATTTGAAAAGTGAAACGCAGTTATAGTAGACGCAAAAACAAAATTAATTGCCCTTTCGGACAAATTGCTTCATTTGGGCTAATAATATTAATAATAATAATAAGTTATTATTTGAAAACTATATTTAGTATTCAAAATTAGATATTCATTAATTAATGAGCTGATTTATCTTTATGATATTTTCACGTTAATTGTCATTAAAGATATCAGTTTAGCAGGTGCCTCCAATCAAGGGCAATTGTGTTCCACTTACCGTATCTTACTTACGATAGATAAAATTTATACTGTGATCGGCAAATTTATTCACATACGAGCAGATTAAAAAGGTAAATATATCTTGATGAAATTTTTAAACTTTGTTTTTACATTTGTTTCAACGGCGATACAAAATTTTAATTTGCTGTACCAAGGGAATTGCTAGTCGAAAGTTTCTCGATTCATATTTTTCATTTAAGTTTTCTTTTAAACGTGTTTAGTGAAGTTAAAATGAGAAGAGCAGCTTTAAATGGTCTTGACCTTCACCTTCCATTAAAATTCATGACCGTCGTCTTTGTTTAAAAGAAGGGAAATGCTATTAACAGATCTTATCTCTAACTATTGTGTTCTTTCTCCATTGTATTCACTACAGCTCAGATTATTTTCTTGAACGCGTTCTGAAAAAAGGGAAGTTTACATTACCAAGTATAATAAAAAAATAAGAAAAATAAAATCTGATGAATAAATCATGGCATTTACTTTAAATTCTGGAGTTTTTGGTTCATTGAAGTGTTAGGGTTTTAATACTGCATTATATTTAAGCCTTTTTTCAGATTTAAATTGCACTTATACTTTTTTTTTTTACTTTTAATTTGCAATAAATTGTTAATGTTGTACTTTTTTCCATCTTCTTTTTGGCTATCGTAAAGAAAAACTCAGTAGCTGTACATTTTTATACTCTTTAAATAGATTTCCGTTCTTTGCATGACAATGTTCACTTTTAAGGCATTTACAGTATCCATCCCGAATTTTAAATAAGAAATGGGATTTAAATAAGAACTTTAACCCGATTTTGTTTCACAGCATAAATTTTACGTTCGATGCGTTTTTCTCTCTAACTTTACAGTAAGAACTAATTTATCGCAATAAATTAATGCTGTTAATACAACAAGGTTTCTGCAAATTCCGTGAAGCTTGTGATAAATTTAAGCTTGTGTGAAGCTTGTGATAAATTTGTATCTTCTCTCGATTGTTTTTCAACTATTTATTAAATGTTTAACTTCTCAGTCAAACTATTTCATAATACTTCCGCATTATAATAATCTGTTTTCTACCCTTTACCTGAAAGGAAAAATGAAATTTGTAGTAGTATATGATTCGTTCTTTAGTATAAATCAGTTCTGCTATCAGTTAGGAAAGCTTAAATTCCCCATCTTCCCTTCCCCCAATAAAAGCAACTATTTATGCAGCAAAGATAATTATCTATATTATTATAATTATTTGGTTATATATTATCTGGTATGTATATTATTATAATTATATGGTTCATTAACCGAGTTCTTGTATTTAATTAATAATTATAACGATCCCTCTACAAACCAATTATCCAGATAATTTTATTCTTCTGCGAAGGTGATCGTTATAGAGAGGCCCTGCTCATTGTCGATCTGTATCTTGGTTCTTCAAAGTACTGATCATTATCACATATGGCCATCTCAGAGAAAGTATCAGAGAAGTAATTGCTAGGGAGGTTTCACTGTCATTTAAGAGGTTCTTTTCACTGCTTTCATGTTGCGCCGAAAACCTATTTTCTACTGCGCATATCAAATTAATGCTGTTAATACAACAAGGTTTCTGCAAATTCTATGAAGCTTTACTGCACGAAAATTGTTTGCCACCATTAATTTACAAGGTTTCTCCCTCCTTCCTAGCGTGCCTTCGTGGTGTAATGTTTCTGCACCCTGGGCCGGTATTCCAGAGGTCCGTGGTTCGATTTCCGGCGAAGGCGATTGCTAATTTTTCATCTCTCCGGCTTTTTTAATTAACCTAATGTCTCTACAAATTACAAAAGCTGACACAAATTAAGAACATATATATGTGTACAATTAGAGAAAAAGAGAAATTAGTTGAAGTAAACTTGAGTTAAAACATTCGCACTTCAACAGCTGAAGAAAAAGGTTCTAACCTCGAAACTAGTTCTGAAAGTTTAGGAATATTACGCTAGTTCTTGTTACTGTAACTCCTCTAATAATAAAATAAAGCTGTAACTGCTTTCCTATAAACGGTTAGTTCTAGAAGTATTTATTAACAGAGCACAGCAACACTTGCAATGAAAATATATGTCAAAACAGAACATGCACCAAAATGGAGAACCTAACATTTAGCATTAACTTTGTAGTCACGGAGACTAATATTGGAGAATCTATCCTCATCGCAGCTGGAGGTTGACTATTATAAGTTGCTCTTGTCGCCACTAGATGGCGTCCGATAAATAGTTTGGTTACATCCAAATAGTTTTGTTATAAAGCCAAATTAGATGTATTTCTTTATTTATCGCGTTACGACTTCTTATTATAACAACTGTACAGATATTTCTCTAGTTCTCTTATTCCCCAGGAATTACGTTGTAGAGACTACCGATGATCTCCTCCCTCGGAGAAAGAGAATCAATTTTACTATCCCTGAGTCTCGAACCATGCGTTTTTCATCTGCAGCTTAATGCGTTTACGATTTACACCACGGAAGTATGTACAGTGAGGTGTTAGAATTCCTTACATTCTTTCCTAAACTTAAAAACCGATTGAGAATAGGCACAAGACTCAGCCGACAAAATCCGAGTGGCAATGACTATAATATCTTATTTCGAGCCCATTTTGTTGCGACTTTTTAGATTCTGGAAGAGGTGGATTTAAAAATTCCTCTTTTCCTAGCCAGAATTCAAACTACTATTTTCCAGTTGCCAAATGGATGTTCTAACTACCTGCGTCATAAGATCACATGCGGGTTGATATGCAATAATTTCTTGTACAGTTATTGTTTGTTACGTATGTTACTTTGTAGGGAATTAATCTGACTGATTAACTTTTAAATGTAAACTTTTTGTTGGTTACCATTGACAGGTTAGGATGGAATTTGCCTAGTTGATTATTCTAGAGCAACCGACTTTCTATTCTTTATCTTAAATAGATTTATATGGTATTCATCTGGTTGATTATCCACTAGATGTTAGATTACCTCTTCTTAACGTAAATACATGAATACAAAATTTTCTGGCTGATCGCCTTTTAAGCATCAAAATTATAATTAATAACTTAAGTAGTATTTCAGTTTGCATTTTGTCTCCCTGAAGACAAGTTTTAATAAGTTGCGTACATTTAAATTTATAAAACTACAGTTTAGTGCAGGTAAACTGAAACTATTGTGTTTAATTTTGAAGGCTTCTTTAATCTTTGCTTTCTTGCCTGAAAGGTTAAGATGCTAAAAATCTCACAGTAGTCAAGGTTTTAAGAGAAAAGCCAGCTAATCCCTTGCAGTCGTTCAATAAATATACAGGTGCGATACTAAATAAAACGAACACCTGTGAAATGAAGAAAAATCTTTGTTAATAGGAGACTGGAACACTTTTTTGATTATACAGTACTCATTCTGGACGACGTATGATAGAAGCATGGAGTTCTAGCGTAACACTTAAGGAAATATGAAGCCAT